CTTTTGGGTTGTTGTGATGCTGGAAGCTGTACCACCGGTGTGCCGGATGTCAGAAGCACCATCCACAGTGGACAGGTTTCAGCAGATTAAGACTGACTAGGAAGCCGGGTTGGCCATCCACTTCTGAAATAGCAGACCACTGAAAACTCTGTGAAATACAGCTTACAGTAACCTTGTGAACAGTAGGTCTTAGCCTTCCCTATCCTGCGTCATCTCCACAATCTCTACTATGCTTTAGTCTGTTCCTACAGTCACTGTGTCAATTTGGCTAAAGTAGGACATTCATATGGTAGAATCTTAGGCTACAGTGTTAGATTAAGAATTAGGGATTTTGAAGGCCAAAGAGTATGTTTAATGCCATAGACAGTGAAGAATGAGAATTTATATTTGTAGTTTGCTTCTTTTGGTGGTGGGTTTTTTTTTTTTAAACTGTGACATGGTTTTGAGGTATTTACAAATTGTGAGATACCTTGTCCATAGTGATATGTAGTTTGCTTCTTTTGGTGGTGTTTTTCTTTTTTAAGCTGTGACATGGTTTTGAGGTATTTACAAATTGTCCATAGTGATATGACTATGAGAGATAGCATTATCTCTAACATATAGTGAATTTTTAGTTTGTTTTTATTGTATAGTGGAAATTTGTCTTACTAGTTCAGGTGCAAATATACCATGTAAATGTTCTTTTATTTCCTTAAATTTTGCCATAGTCCCCAAAGGATCTGCTTTGATAAGTTGGTTCACTTTCGTTCCACTGCTGACGTGGTCACATGGTCACACCTAAAGACAAGGTGGGCTGGGAAGTGGCATCATTCTGGGTAGCCACCCACTCAGGAAGAAGAGAAGAACAGAATTTGATGGACACCTAACAGTATCGACCAGAGGCTGTTTTCATTATTGGTCCCATAATCCCATCGTTAAGACTAACAAAGTGCTTCTTTCTCTTTTTCAGGCAGAATTGGGCCTAAATGATCACCATCAGAATGAAGTGATTAACTATATGCGTTTTGCTCGCTCAAAAAGAGGCTTGAGACTCAAAACGGTAGATTCTTGCTTCCAAGATCTCAAGGAGAGCAGGTATCAGCGAACTCTAGGCAAACCAAATGGGAGAATGGGCCCTTTGGACTAGCCAATGTAGTAATAACATAGCAGAGGCTATAACAGCTGTTCTGGGAGTATGGTAATTCGTTATCCCCTCAGAGAACTTACACTATGCCTCCTGATGTTCGAAACTCAAGAACTTGGATTGTGGTGGCAACAATGACTAAATCAGAAAAGGCACCTGGATGCTAACTGTCTGCGTGCAGAACTTTAGGAGGGTTAGCAGGTTAATGATTGGCTTGTTGTATTAAAGATTCCAGGACTGAAATTACTTAAGTCATTAGTGAAAACATTAAAGCCATAAAACATGGCAGTTAGCAAGAAAATAATGCAGTCCATGTTGAAGACTGTAAGGGACTGAGGGGAACCCAGAACCATAGAAAGCTTACTGACCAGTACAGACATTATTAGTTGATTCGTAGCAAGAAGTGATAGTCCAGTTGGGCCCTTAATGACGGGCCCATAAAATGTTTCTTTGGTTTGGAGGATTATAGAGGACCAAAGAAAAGAACTGAATAAAAAAGATGGATCAGATGACTTAAGAATCAGACTTACAGCCATTCAAGTGTCAGTAAGACCATAAGTGAAAAAAAAATCTTTTGAGTGGGTAACAGCTGTCCTAAAACATGATCTTCGCTTGGCAGAGGAGGCCATCATCAGGAGACCAATATATACTTTATCCATTAATCTACTCTGGGTTCCTAACGCCCAGCAGATGAAAGCAATTTAGTTGAAGAGGCTGAGGGCTAGCCTGAGAACGGACTTACGTAGTCACTATAGGCATCAGCATTCCCAAAGTGCCATTCATAATAGTATTCTGTTGTGTCATCAAAAACAGGTTTAAGCAAACACTGTATTTCCTCTTGTGGTGATGGAAAATTCTTATTGGTTAAGGGTAATGGGTGCCCAGCCAATTAATGTCATTGATAACAACAAGTTTCACACTAGCGAAAACACAGAATTGACAGATGTGTGTATTTGCAACAACCAAGTGCAGGTACTGTGCTTCTGTGGAAGCAAACGCCTTCTGGAATTTGGTTTCTTAGTTTGAAGGTTTGAGGCCATGGTTTTGTGGGACATCTCAGTTCATTGGCTTAATACTATGTCTAGTGCTTCTGGTCTACCTTCCGGTTCACACCGTTGTGCCTGGGTTTAAAAAGCCTGCAAGCAGCCATCTAGAGTTTAACAGTGGGCCTCTATTCATCTAGAGTAGAAGGGGGAGAAAATAGGGAATGGGAGGAAGAAAGGGAATGTGTGGCTGATTTCCTGCTTGTACAGGTAGCTTCTTTGCAATGAAACTAGAAGAAATTATACAATGTCCAGCCACCATTATTGATTGTTTTTATGAAAGATTCTGGAGCAAAACAAAACAAAACAAAAATCCTTGGTGGTGAAATTACGGAACAGAATTCCAGATTATCATTACAGAACAGAATTCCAGATTATCATGGGCTTCACACTGTTGTCCTGAGATAATCTTTAAACATTAAATCAAAATATCCCTGAAATCTTTAAAACAGACAGTAGGTTAGTTTTGGTTTTTTTCGTTTTCTTTTGCGTCCCAAGGACATTAAGAGAAGCAATATATAGTCACCATTGCTTTTCTCATGTTTACTAATATACAGACAGTTTCTATCATTATTAAAGCGCTAAAGAAAAATAGACTCTATGAACTTGGAGAGCCAAAGAAAGTTATACAAGTGTTCAGGTCTTTCATTCATAGGGTCAGTATGAGTCCATGACCCAATGGCGCTTAACAACAACAACATACCTCCTGAGTGACTTTTGAAATTCTTGAATGTGAAAAGAGCATTTTTAGTGAAAAATGTAAGTAAAAAATGGGGAAAAGTTTCAAATGGAAAAGTTAAGGAAAAGAGTTGGTGGTAGTTTTAGAACTGTTTGTAACACTGACTGCTTCTGTACCAAAATGTGTGTACCTTTGGAGTTAAGCCACTATATAATCGTTTGGCTATCGTTATGTAACATCAGGTTAGAAAGGACTTGCAGCTGACTCTCCAGGGAGTTTTCAGAAGCTGTAAATTGCAAAGGAGGAGATTGCCTATCTTTCTTCCTCAGAGCACCTGGTATAGTTGAACTTCCTGCCTTTGAGTTGACAGTGTAACTCCTTACCTTCTAAGCCACCAGAGCTCTCTAGTCATTTAACTCAACATTAAAACTTAATTGCACTGAAATGATTTTCATTCTGTTTTACTCACAAAGAATATTAATCCCAGAGAGATGTTCTTTATAACCTTTTAAGCTCTTAGGTGATATGATGTGGTTTCCTACTTTTGCTGTGCTTTAATAGCTGTTCTTGCTGTGTGTCCACATGACTTGGGTCACGGTGGTCTTCCAGGCTGGTGGAGGAGACCTTCACCATCGACGAGGTCTCCGAGGTCCTGAGCGGACTGCAGGCCGTGGTGCACAGCGAAGTGGAGTCTGAGCTCATCAACACCGCCTACACCAACGTGCTGCTCCTGCGGCAGCTTTTTGCACAAGCCGAGAAGTGGTACCTTAAGCTACAGACAGACATCTCTGAACTTGAAAACAGGTAGGAGAACTTGTACCTGCATTTGTGACGGTAAAGGCCCAAGCGTAATCTATCTATAAAAGTAAATGAATTTGATTTCCTGTTCACCCCACCCTGTGAACTGTTCTCTGAGCATGTTGTCCTACAACCTATGGGCAAAAAAAAAACCCCCACAAACCATTTAACTCCCTTCAGTAACTGGAGAGAAAACTTAGAAACTGACATATGTCAGGTATAAACAAAGTTTTCAATCTGAAAATAAGTGCCTGCAAGTATAGTCCTATCATTCATACTGTAAGTGCTCGTTGACCTTTGCAAATCAAAGGAAATCTTTAGCTGGGTCACCTTCAAGCTTTCTGTCCCCAAAACACGTGATACTCACCGTTCAGTAGATGCTGTGCACTAACTCCCTTGTCTATAAAAATCATTGTGCTTTTCGGAATACCTACTAGGTGACTAGAATCTTGCTCATATTGTATGAGCATTGTCATTTCAAGCTAGCAACATATCTTTTACACCTAGTTTGTACAAAGTACTGGGTACTTGGAGGATGCAAGGTTGAGTCACATGTTTTGAATTCTTGATCATTTGTAATTAAATGTCTTTTTTTAATTTTTGCGTGTCTGTTCTCTGGCATGTAAGGTAACCACTGGTTTTATTCTCTTTATGTGTGCTCCAAATATCTTTTAAATAACATTTTTTTCGTGTTTGCTTTTATCTTCAAGAGAATTATTAGAGCAAGTTGCAGAGTTCGAAAAAGCAGAATTCATATCTTCCAACAAAAAGGTAACTTTTGGTTGTGCTCAGTCCACATATTAATAGTCAGTGTCTGAAACCCTCAAGTCATTCAGAGCATTCAGAGATCAGGATGAGACCTCTCAAAGAGAGAAGCATTAGACTCAAGAGGAGAGTTCCACCCGTACCCATCAGACTTCGGGCAAAAGAAGAAAAGCTTGGAGATAAGAGGGGATAAGATTGTGTTTTGTCTCTTAACACACCACCCCAGTCCCAGTGTCCACATTAACCTTTTCTGTCAGATGAAGCATAGGCCTGGGGGTCAGCCACACTTCCTGGCGGTCGCCCTCTGGCCAGGTTGCCTGATGTAACTGACCCTTGTTTTCCTCTTTTTTTTTTTCAAATTTTTTTATTTTTGTGTCCGTGTACCGTCAAATCAGATCTGACTGGTACAGGAGGAGATTGTCCCTCCTTCCCCAGCAGAGCATCTGGTGGATTCGAACCTTGAGCCTCTGGGATTGTAGTTGCAGCTCCTTGCCACTAGGCCACCAGAGCTCACCTTGTTTTCCTCTTCTGTCAAGTGGAGAGAATATTGCCAGTTCCCTACTTCTCTGTTATTTGCTGTGGCCACTTAGTATTTCCATTTATGAATGTGTCGTAACTATTCCCTGATATTGAATATTAAAACATTGCTGAGATGAGGCCATTGTTCATATACGTAGAAAACATTTTTTTCCCTAATTCATTCAGGACACAAGTTTTGGCTCAAAAGATTTCAAGACACATTCCTAGCCGGCCTGAATATTTCTGCCCGGTTATTCTACACCTTCAGTGTATTTGTCTCAATCCTCACCCGTGTCACAGCTTTTTTCAAAATAAGTGGTTTATGTCGAAAATTCTGGTTTTGCTCTCATAGGTTAAAATCCTAGTCTTTACAGGCTGAGAATGGGGCGCTCTGGTGGCCTCATCTTTAGGGTGTTGTGCTGCTAACCCCCAAGTTGCCCCTCGCCGGCAGCTTGAATCTGCGAGCCTCTCCAAGGGAAATCTCCACTATGGGAGATGACCCGTGTGGCTTCCAGCCCTGAACCCCAGAGAAGCATCAGCTCTGAGTTGGCTTTGACCCCGCTCTCTATCCAGGTCTGGTTTTGATCCACTTCCTTTCTTTTCCTTCCTGTTTCTCACTTGTATTTTTTTTTTTAATGCATGGAGAGGATTGGTTTTCTCTTTATATCTAAAAAGAGACTGGGCTGGACACTGTAGATCAGCCACTAGGCAGAGCAGAGAATGGAATAACAAAAATCCCTTTGCTCTCAGAGCTGGCCTCTCGGTGAATGTGTTTGCACAGGGCCGCCCGTTATAAAGTGCGAGTGTTCAGTTATTATAATCCTTCACTCTGGAGTGATTCCATTTGGGCTGCTTCTCTTTATTTTAGCCTGTCCTAGATAGCATCAAGCCGAAACTAGCTCCTCTTAACGAAGGCGGGACGTCCGAACTCCTGAACAAGGTAATGCTGTCATTTGGAAAAATGGCAAATGCTGTGACTTTGTCCTCTCTTTGCTCACAAAACTCTCAGGTAGAGAAAGAAGCGGCAGGAGATTGGTTGCATCTTTGATTCTCTGAAGGCACTTGGTCCCTGGCAGCAGTCGGCCTTAGTGGTGCCGTGTTGGCCAGAAGAGGGCATCCGTACCTTCCAGAGGCACTGAAGCAGCCCTCCATTACTGTACTGGTCCATTGATAGATAGTTGAAGTCTATGATCTGTGATGATGAAGAATTTTTTATTGGTTTGGTTTTGGGTTTTTTAAAGAGGCTGATAAAAATTTGTCAAGAGACAAATACGTATTTCAGTGCTTCTTATATTCTTAACTAGAATCCCTGGTGGTACAGTAGTTAAGTATTCAGATGCTTACGAGCAAGTTTCTAGTTCAATCCCACCAACTGCTCCATAGGAGAAAGTTATGGGAGTCTGGTTCGGTAAGACTTCCAGCCTTGGAAGCCCCCTCGGGGCAGTTTTATTCTGTTGTCCAGGTCCAATAGAGTTACTGTGAGCCAGAATAAACTTGATGGCACCGGATTTCTGTCCTTAGATTGTACTAAATACTGTTAGAGATTAAAACAAAACAAAGCAATGTAATGCTTGGTTCTTTGACCTCAGAAGAGTTTCTAGACATAGTAGGACAATGAACTGATGATATTTCTAGGAATTAGAGACAGGAAAATACTAACCCGTGCCACAGATGTCACAGGGTAGCTGGGAAAACACAGCCCCACACAGATGAAAATAGTTGAGGACAGGCTTTTAGATAACTGGTAGTTGAGCTGGGCCTTGAAGGGTGAAGACGGGGAAATGTCCGAAGGAAGAGAAGCAAGCACGTCAGGCAGAGGACCTGAATGGGCAGCAGCAGGACCCTGCCATGTTTGAGAGAAGGTTTTCTGCCTTCCACTGCCGTGCACCCGCTCTGGCCTGGCTGGTATATGCTGGCCTGGCAGGTGACACTCGTGACAGACGGCTTCGGAGCCCAGGTATCTGGGCTTGACTCAGTCAGGACTGGCTAGAGAGTGAGCTGGTTAATGAAATGATGAGAAGGCTGCTTTTAGGATACATGAAAGTAGTGTGCGGTATAGACAGAGAGTAGACACAGTTGTTGGAGGATCAGCTGGGGGAGGGATGAGAGAACAGAGCACTGCAGGAGGGAGAATTTCTCTGAGAGGCTGTGAGAGAAGGAACCAGAAACTTTAGAATCAAAGATGCCTCTCAGATGTGAGGCTGGGAACATGGACAACACTGGAATGTCAGCAATAACCAGAGCAGGCAGGTTTTTTTAATAAGTTCTTTACAAAAACAGATTTTAACTGAAACTAGTAATAATTTCAGGTGTTAAGAAAACATTGAGGGAGCTCTGGTGGCCTAGTGGCAAGAAGCTGCACTGCAATCCCAATGGTGCACAGTTCAAATCCACCAGCTGCTCTGCTGGAGAAGGAGGAGCAATCTCTTCCTGTACCAGTCAGATCTGATTTGACAGTACACACACACAAAAATAAAATTTTTAAAAAAGAAACCGTTGGTTAAAATCATAAAATAACATTTGCATTTGCTCACAAAGGAAATTTCAAGGCTTCAAGAAGAGAATGAAAAATTGAAGTCAAGGCTGAAGACCATTGAAATGCAGGTAACCTAGAGAAATCCTTTTACAGAATCTTTGAAGGAGTTACCTGGTGCTTAAATACTGAATGTGTTTTGTTTAATTTAACAATAGGCTATAAATGCATTGGATGAGAAGTCAAAACTAGAAAGAGCATTGCAAGATTTGCAGCTTAATCAAGGGGATCAAAAGGTGAGCCAAGGTTTAGCTCTCTGACCCACATTTTCTAAATAGAATACATTTATGAACATACAATTAAGTCTTGGCTGCTGCCTGTCATGTGTCCCCTCCCCGTGACAGATGCCCTGCTGTCCAGAAAGGGCCAGTGAGAAAGCATGAGAACCAGTGTATTTTCCTCTCTGACCCCACAGACAGAGAGCACGGACCCAGCTCTCCTGCCTCACAAGTCCTTGGATTTATTGGACACAATGGTGTTCCCCTCGTCACTGTGACATTCCAGTTACTGTTGAGGCTGGGGTTGGCGTCACAAGAAAATGGAGAAAGGAAGAGATATAGGTTGACATTCATTTCCGGTTGCCATCAGTGAGATTTTAGGGGGCAATTGAAAAATTCTATCAATATTGAAAATTTTTCTTCTTGCTAATAGTGTTTCATCTACATATTTAGCATTTGTGCAATATTTTTCTTATTACTAGAAGTCTTCTATAATGAACTTTGGCTCCTTGTATTAATATTGCATTTGGTAAAGTATGCAAAGTTATTCCTATCTCAGAAATAATATTCAAAAGTTAAGAATCTTATAAATTAAGAAAATGATGAATCCTTGTTAGTTATTTCCCATAGCAACTTACAGAAAATAATCACTAAAGCATTTTGATACTCAGTTTTTAGTACAACTTAATTTTTCTTCCACCTGTATCATTCAGAATTATTTACCAAGATTTTTTTTACCTTGACTTTATAAAAATAAAACCTATTTGGATCCCAGATCTGAGACACAGCTTTGTCAAGTTCAGGCTCTTCTGTCCTCTGATTCTGTGGCTAGTATGTTCTGTGATTTGTAAATCACGTGTCATGTAGTCAGAGCTCAAAAAGCCCTCACTGTCTGCCCTGTCAGGACACCAGGTACTGGACATGAGGCTGAACTGGGCACATTGATGACCCTCAGGGGGCTGGTGTGTCCCTTCGCACTCAGGATGCAGCAAACTTGTTTGCTTCTGTGATATTGTAATCCCTATTCTAAGGCCACTCTTATTTAAGATGCTCATTTATGCTTGCACACCATCTTTCACAGGATTACATACAATCCCAAGACATGAGTGAGTTGGAAAACACAGTTGCTGCTTTGAAGAATGAGTTTCAGAGGACCCTCGATGACCAGACGGAAACCCAGAAGTCCCTGGAGGAGAACCTGGCGACAGCCAAGCATGACCTCCTCCGTGTTCAAGAGCAGCTGAGCTTGGCTGAAAAGGTCAGAAGGCCATGTCTGTTCGTGCCCGATTAACTGCGAAGTGCAGGCCGAGGGGCAGTTGTGAGTAAGGTGGATATCAGGCGAGGCAGGCTCACATCCTCCTTTTGAAGACATTAGCCATCTGTGTTCAGAAGGGGGAGCCCTGGTGGTGCGATGTGTTTAGAGTGGGGCTGCCAGTGAAAAGTAGCAGCTTGAACCCAGCAGCTGCTCCAGGGGAAAAGGGGAAGCACTGTCTCCCGTGAAGACTTCCAGCCTCAGCAGCCGACGGGGACATCCTCCTCTCTCCTCTCGGGTCGCTGTGAGTCACAGTCCGTTCGGCAGCGGTGAGCTTGGTGTTGTACGTGTTTACATTCTGAAGGGTGGCCGTCTTCTGTGTTTGACACTTCAGTACCTGTGATAATAAGAAACCTGCCTCTCTCCTCTGCTTGGGGTAGGACCTCTCCACGGGGGCCGACCCCCCCAGGCTGCTTCCCTGCAGATCTGGACTCTCCTTCCTTTAGACCTTCTGTCCCACCTTCCTGCTTTACCTGCGGGAGCTAAGGGGCGCTCTGATGGGCGACCAGTAAGGAGTTACGCTGCCAACCCAAAGGCAGGTGTTCAAATCCGTAAGCTGTGCCATGGGAGAAAGATGGTTCATCTCCCTCCCCGCCCTTTACAGCCTCAAAAAACCCCCTGGAGGGTCAGCTGTGGGTCGTTCCGACTGGACAGCCTGGAACAAGGAGGGAGCTGGGGGTTCACCTTTAGGGTTAGACTTTCTTTGCCGCTTAATGGCATACGTGGAAGCTTGGGTTCAGTTAAATTTGTTACCTGGCTTTCAACGTAGTTTTGGGATTTGGAAAAAGGTCATGCTTAGTTTACCGGAAGATTCATTTCCTATTTCACATATTCTAATACTTCAAGTCAGGGTGGTATTCCCCTTGCCGAGGGCATAATGTTCGAGTTGTACTTGGGTAAAAAAACACTACTTTTAAAAATTTACTCCTCATTTGGAGCTCTAGTGGCCTAGTATTTAAGAGGTTACACTGCAAACACAAGTGGTTCGAATCCACCAGCTGCACCACAGCAGAAAAATGGACAGCAGTCTGTACCTGTGTGACTTACAGCCTCTGAAAACCTGCTGGGGAGGTGAGCTATGAATTGGTGGTGACTTAACAGCAATGAGAGGTTTTCTCTTCTTCATTTGAAATAATTTCTTTTTAAAGTTTAGAGAATCACCATTTTGTCTAGGGAGCCCTGATGGCCTGATGGTGGTAAGAAGCTGTGCTGCACCCCACAGGCACATGGTTCGAATCCACCAGCTACTGCATGAGAGAAGGATGGGCGGTCTCCTCCAGTGTGATTTACTGCCTCTGAAAACCTGCTGGAGGGTCAGCTATGGGCTGGTTGACTCAATAGCACACAAAAATAACAACTAAGTTTTATCTAAATACAGATTTTAGAGAAATGAAAAATATAAGCGTAATATCTGTAACATAAGAGCAAAAAGTAGAGATTTCCGTCAGACTGGTTATTTCTTTCTTCAGCGATTCCTTGCTAACAGACTGCCGTTTCCTACTTAAAGGAATTAGAAAAGAAATTCCAACAAACAGCTGCTTATCGAAACATGAAAGAGATTCTTACCAAGAAGAATGAGCAGATCAAGGAGCTAAGGAAAAGACTGACAAAGTAAGTTCTCCTGACCCGCTCGCAGGCTTAGGCCTGCGCTGCCGTGAGGGCTCCCTTAAATCTAAGCTCATGTCCAGCATTTGGGTCAGTGGAGAGTTGCTCTGTCATTTAATACAAAAGCCTATGTTTGAGGGAATCGGAGGTGGTTTGGCCTGGCCCGGCCTTTGATACCCACTAAGCCTTCTTTTTGGTTCAGCTGAACCTTCAGAGCCACACAGACCCACGCCAGGCTGCTCCTGGGCGTGAATCACTTTGACTATAGAACGGAAAACAGCCACCTAACAGGATGGTGTTCTGTGGGGTCTGTGCCCCAGTCCAAAAGGTGGGCTTCTTGTGCTCCCAAGTGCCTGTGTGGACAGACAGACTGAGCCATGCAGACAGACGGATGCCAGGGCCAACCTGCTTAGGAATCTGCTTCACAAGAGTCCAGTATTTCTTGTAGTGACCACCTGCCCGGTAATGGGTGTGTCTAGTCATATAGGGAAGCCCCTGGCCATGATTTCCCACCGGAAGCTTACAGTTCACTCCCAAACCTCCCTGTCCAAGTGCAGCTGACCATCAGCAGTGCAACCTGCTAACTCGGCTGACACTTTAACACTCCCCAGGGTCCCCAGGAAACAGAGTTAGAAAGTGAATCCAAGATCACATTTTTCCATAGAGAAGGACATTCATGATTCCTTTATTCAATAGTCGTATCAGCTAATTGTACTGACCTAATGATTTCGATTATTATGGAACCTTTGCTCAGCTCTCTTGGGCCTGACCGTGTGCTACAGAGACCAGGAGTCTGAAGATGTCTAAGCACTTGTCCTCCCTGCTGCCCGTTACAGGAATCCCCTTTGAGTGTCTGTCATAATTCCTCCAATGTGTCCGACTTCTCCCCACAGCAGTAATTATAATACGGTGTTCCTGGTTCGTCCCTGGAGAGGTTTCAAGGAGCTCTTTTAGTAACAACAACAATAGCCAATACACATTTTCTTAACATCACATTCTTGATGTCTCTTTCTAGATATGAACCTGAAGATTAAAATCTGGTGTTGAATCATCTGAAAGCTGCCACAGGCTTAATGTATGAGCTGCATTTCCCCTGAGATGTGTGCTTTGAAGCATTTTGTCCTGTCCCAGCCCCTTTATTTTTCTGATATTTAGACTTTGCTATTGCATCCTCCCCAAAGAGTTCCTGTTTGCAACTGCCTAACTGAGAAGAGATACTGACCCCCTGATTCTGGCTGCATCCCCGTGCCTCTCTGCCAACAGCTCCAGGGTCTTTAATTGACCGTTCTTTACAGTAAAGAAGAGATTTTTTTTAAGTGAGAAGAGTCTTAAGTAACCCTTTAGATTAATACAAGGGATGCAACTTTTTAATAAACGTTAAATAAACCAGAAATTAATGTCTATACTTATGCATTCCCCAGGGTAAAAGTAGTTATTATAAAGGTTGTTATGGCAAATAAACATTTTTTCTTTTTAAAAATGAACTTGAATTCATTTCATGTGATATTGGATCATCAAAAAAATGTATTTTATTGAAAATGTGAATGCCATCTATTATAAGCAGATTTTTTTTACCAGTCACAGAGAAGATTAATAGCAGTGAATGTGAGGCTTCAGTTAGCTTCAGTTTCTTAATCTAAATGGTAGGTTTAACCAAGAAGATTTGGGCTTTCGCCAGGACAACTTACCATGCATCTATATTATTGATGGAAGACTCAGAACTACCCCACACCTTCGTGGTTTAGAGATATCTTGACTCAGAATAAATGTTCTCTTTGTGCTTCAGTTACCAGGATATTTTCTTATTAAATGTTAAGTAAGAACACTTTCAAAAGGACCTGTATTATTGTTAGGTGCTATCCAGCCAGAACCAATACATCGCTGACCCTGCAGCAGGTTTTTGGAAGCTGAAAATGGCACAGAAGGAGATTGCCCAACTTTCTCCTGAGGAGCAGTTGGTGGATTTGTAGGAGAGGAAGAGATGGATTGACACAGTGACTTCAGCAGTGGGCTTGAGTGTGTGGCAGATGATGAGGAGGGTAAGGCAAGACTCAGCTTGGCTGTTCATAGGGTCGTTCTAAGTCACGCCTAACTTCACGGCACCTAACAACTGTGGACCACTGAGCTCAATCTCAGTAAGGAGTGAGGAAGCCGGAGATCATATCCACTAGCTTCTTATTTGCCATTGGTTGAGGGTTGGTCTTAGGGAACTCCCGCTACTTCCAGTACCTTATCTGAAAATATCACTATGGCAATGAAAGGTCCGCGGGTGAAGATTCACCAGGAGCCTTCTGTAGTCCATCCTGCACGTCAGGGTATCACGTTATACGTGTCTTACCTGTGGAGCCTCCTGTGGTTCAGGAGCCACCCCACTGGACCTTCTCAGTCCATACTGCATGCCAGGGTAAGGGGTTTATAGGTGTCTTAATCTGTGGACCCAAGTTCAGTTCCCCACTGGACCTTCTCAGTCCATACTGCATGCCAGGGTAAGGGGTGACAGGTGTCTTTATCTGTGGACCCAATATCAGGTCCCCACTGGACCTTCTCGGTCCTTTCTTCTGCCCTGCCCTGCCCAGTCTTTCTCACACTTAATGATCTCAGAAGTAACTAACCAGCCAAATGCCATTGAGTCAATTCTTACTCATGTGACCCCATTTATTTCAGCAGTAGATCGCCCAGGCTTTCTTCGGACTTCCTCTGCATGAACTCAAACCGCCAACCTGGTGGTTAGCAGATGAGTGCTTTAAACGTGCACATCACCCAGAGACTCGAGATCCCCAGAGCATCCCCTGATTGGTCCTGCGCACCAGTCCTCAGGGTCCACATCCCAAGAGTCCTGACCCGAGACAGGCACGATGAGCCGTTCTTTTTATATCTTGCTGGGTCTTAATTGCTGATACATTATTTAGGCTTTGGGCATCAATATACATGAGAGAGCGGTCTGGAATTTTCCTTTCTTGTAAAACATGTGATTATCAAGCTATCAACATCCTAAATCAATAACTCATTTTTAGAAAGCTTAATGCCTAAACGTGTCCAACTAAATGTTTGAAAAATTTTTATTCAGTATTTACTCCATTTTATAAATGATAATCTGTGGTTTCGCATCAGGAGTATGCCCATGTCAAGGAGAGGCTAAGTAATGTGTCGAGGGAAGGTTTGGGGGGCCAGTGAACAACTACCATTGCTGAAGTTATCCCCTGTAACCCTGTTGGGTGGTTTTGTCGCATGACTGAAGCTGTGTCCAGGGGGTGGATGCAGCGAAGATACCATGGCTGTATAGTTAGAATGTGGACTCTGCTAATAATGTATTCAGTGTCTAACCGCAGTGAGACTCACCAATCGGCATCTTCCTGCTCTATGACTCTTTGGTATTTTGTCTTCTACTTGTCCTGTGTAAACAAAGGAGGCTGAGAAGGAACAGCCAATGAGAGTGTGAAAGCGAAGGAGCGTGCTGCCCGATTGTACACCAGAGGATGGAATTGGACCTGTGTCAGACATACAGAAGATGAGGTTGGGGAACCGGCCATTCAGTTCAGCCAGGCAGGGTCTTGGATGACTTTGACGAGAATTTTATTGAAATTCTTGGTGGCAAGGCCTGGTCGAGAAGGCTAAACAGAGGTCATGTGAGGAGGGAAACCCAGAGACGGAGTTAAAATGGGCATTTCTTTTCTCATTATTTTATACTGTTTTGCATACAAAATTCTTACTATGTTTCATTTATGCACATTTGTTTCACACATTCCTTCATTCACATTTGTGTTTCATAGATGATCATTCCCATACACTGTTTTTTATAAAATTAATCACTGTTGATCTGTCACTGTCAGCCTTCCCTTCAGCACCTTTTTAATGATCTTTACTATAAAACAAAGGCGCTCTGGCAGCCCAACAGTTAAGAGCTCAGCAGTTTACCAAGAGGTCAGCAGTTCAAACCCACCTCGTGCCTCCATGAGAGAAGGGTGGTGGTTTTCTTTTCTAAGCGGGGAGCAGTAAGAGCATGTTTTCTGTCTGTCTCCCCTGCTAACATGCATAGGCTGTAAGGCTGGGACCTGGCCTTGCGTTGTGGACTGATCTACCCTCAGCACCTGAAGAGTGTCAGGCACGTGAGTGGAGACTGGAGGTAGCTCTTCCATGAAGACATGAACCCAACATAATATATAAGAAGCACGTGCAACCTTCAAGGAGACAGAAGCAGGAATGAGGACATAACATGTCAGGGAGAACAACGGCATTTTAAAGGAAAGAACCCTTGTGACACAAACAGCTCAGCACTCAACTCCCAGCCAAAAGGTTGGCAGTTCAAACCCACGGAACAGCTCGATGAGAGGAAAGACCTGGAAATCTGCTATCATGAGGATAATAACTTAGAAGATCATACAGAGAGTTCTGCTCTGTCTACTGCAGGTCAGAGGTCACCTAGGAACGTCTGACATCACTTAACAACAATGACATCAGTGAGGGCTCAACAGTGAGACTTGTAAAAAAATTATTGTGCTATGAGTAAGGATCTACAAAGCATGGTTTCTTTTAATCATTCATACACATTTTGTTCCATAATTTTAATTACAATACCCACAATGTAAGTCATCCAGTTTTTTCATACTGCCTTTCATTCATCTTAACAATATTATCTATTAATTTCAGTCACTGGGAGTCACACACAATTCAACAACACCTAACAATAATAGTTCATTAATTTTCTACTATCCTTTTTTCTCCTCCTTGGTAACCATATTAAAATACGCTCATGTGAAAACCGTTCTTTATCTTTCTGTCATAGTGTTATTACACAATATTTGCCCTTTCCTGACTGACTGACATCACTCGGCACAATGTCCTCTAGATGCACCCACGTTCTGCAGGTTTTCATGGATTCTTCATTGTTTCTATTCGATATTGTGCTGGAGATCCAAACACAGGCAAGGGGGTGGAGTTGACAGTTTCGTCTTGAAAAGGAAGAAACAAAACTGCTAGCATTGATAGATGGGAGGCATAGGAAATGATCCCAAACAAAAGATAATCCTTTCAGGGACCTCTGGTGACTTAGTGCCAAGAAGCTGTGCTACAATATCAAAGGCATATGGTTCGAATCCACCAGCTGCTCCACAGGAGAAGAATGAGCAATTTCTTCCCGTGGAATTGACTGCCTCTGAAAACCTGCCAGAGGTTCAGCAATGGGTCAGTTCTGACTCGATGGCACACAACAAAAACAACAGAGGTAAATGAGTTATGGTAAAAGTTTTATCCTCTAGAAAGAAATAAGGGAGCTTCTGGTGCCCTAATAGGTAAAAAGTTGGGTTGCCAACCAGAAGGTAGGCAGTTTAAATTCACAACCTATTCCATGGGAGAAAGATAGGCAATCTCCTCCTGTGACATTTACAGTCTCTGAGAACCCTCTGCAGAGTCAGCTATGACTTGGTTCCAAGTCAATGGCACATAACAAAAAAAAAAGATTTAAAATTTTAAAAAATTTTAAAAAAATTTAAATTTTATTGCCCTAAATTGCTTCAAATTGTGTGAGGTAAGAATTGACAAAAGAGAAATTGTGTTGTTGTTTTTGTTATGTGCCATCAAGTTGCTTGCAACTCCTAGCAACTCTATGTATAACAGCTCTGAAACCTGCTCTATCCTGAGCCAATTTCATTGTCTCCAACACACTTACCTCTATTACCTTAGTCACTGAGTCAATCCATCTCATCCAAGATCTTCCTCTCTTGTTCTGTCCCTCCACCCTTCCAAGCATAATGCCCTGCTCCAAGGACTGATCCTTCCTGGTAACGTGCCCAAAGTATGTGAGATGGAGTTTCAAAATCCTTACCTCCATGGAGCAGCCTGGTTATGCCCTCTCCAGGACAGACCTGTTTGTTTTCTTAGCAGTCTATGGTATGTTCAATACTCTTCTCCAGCACCATAGCTAGATGATGCTGATTCTTCTATTATCCTTAGTCATTGTCCAGTTATCTGATGCATGGCAAGTAACTGTGAAGACCATGGCTTGGCTCAAGCACACCTTAGTCTCCAGACTGACATCATTGCTCTGTAGTACGCTGGAGAGGTCCTGACAGCAGATTTTCCCAATGCAATTCTTCTTTTGATTTTCTGGCAGTTGGTGCCAAGAGTGTTGATTGTTAAGCCAGCAAGCTGAAACTGTCAACAATCTAAATCTCTCTGCCATCTATCATGATGCTGCCAATTGGCCCAGTGGTGAGAATCTTTGTTTTCTTGATGTTGAGCTTTGACTCATATTGAAGGCCACAGTCCTTGACCTTCTGTAGCAAG